TTACTTTAGTTTAATTTTAAGAAATTTAATATTTATTTTAATTTATGTATGTAGAAGAATTATTTTTTATTTTAATTTAATTAAACTTGTGTTCTTTAAAATAAAAGCATACTCACACAATAGTCACATGTATGCAAAATAATATATAAAAAAATATATCACTAAAAATAAATTTAACTATTGCTTAAGTATTTTTCTTTGAATTGTGCATTGAGGTATGATTTGATTATTACCTTGTTTTTTCTTTCAATTTATCTAATTATAGTTGATTATACGGCTCCCCTCACCTTATGATTTTAGTCTAGTTGTTTTTAATTTTTCAAATTTAACATACCATATTGTTATCTGCGATTGAACAATTCTTGTGATAGATATAATGTTTTGACTTTGTAAAAAAATTGACTTTTTAACTTGTTTGTGATAGTATTTTATAAATTTGACCTCTGTAATTGTTTTTAGCTTTGGGCCTGAAGATGGGATATTTTAAATTCCCGAAACATGTCGCCCCCCTTGCTTTTCATTAAACTTTAAATTAAACAACTTAAAGATTGTGAGTTATTGTCCTTTTACACCCGCCTTCAAAGGTTTTGCTTTGATAATATGTACTCACACTGGGTTAGAGAACGTTTAGTTTTTAATAATCTCTAAAATAGTGTCGACATATTCACCAGTTTAATGCCGATTAAAAGATGTCTCTTGATATTTTGCCGATTTCGGCTTCCTTGTTGAGATAAACGTTATTTTATTAATTTGATTTGATTCTTATTAACTTGCAAACATTATTAGCTTACAATTAACTTGCAAAGGTTTAAATAAATACTCATTGATTCCTCATCAATGAATATGACAAAAAGTTCCTATAAACATGGGTATGGAAATGCATAATTTTAGAGTTACAGGATGTTACAACTTTTTAAAATTAGTTTTGTAATTATCTTAAATACCATTATTTTTTTATTTGAAATTGATGTAGGTTGGACTAATCGTAATAATAACTAATAATAATAATATTTAATAATAAATTAGGTAAAATATAATTTATTAATTTTATTTTTATTTTAATTTGATTAATTATTTTGTAACGTTTTTAGTTCGTTACATGTCTTTTTTATATATAATATATGATGTCTGGCCTATCATCACCGGATTCACCACGCTTGGCGTAATTTTTACGTTCCCTACTCGCCAACCCTGCTATCGTTTCACTGTTCTGTGGAGGCGCGCGCTGTCAAGATCCTTGTTATATGTCAAGGCGGCTCTCCGCGCTTAACCTCACTTTTGTTCACCCGGCTTTTAGAAATGGGAATAATTTAAATCTTGCTGCAAAATCTGAATCAGCTGCCATTTCGAAGCAACAGGGTAGGGTTTTGGATTGACCCACCTTAACTCGTATTTGTATTTTGCTGGCACATTGGTGTTCTTTTGCTTTAGTCCTCCAGAATATTACATGGAAGAAAGGACAGTTTCTTTGTTTATTATTGAGCCCGCGGAAGTAATTCGAGGGTCTTATGGACGTACATTATCTTATGGACGTACATTATCTTATGGACGTACATTATCTTATGGACGTACATTGTCTTATGGACGGACTGTGTCCAAGGTACGGGTAGTGTTCCCCTGTACCGTTATCTTATGGACGGACTGTGTCCAAGGTTATGGTCTAGGTTACGAACATTATCCAAGGTCCTAGTAGTGTTCCAAGGTACGGGTAGTGTCCCTATATTGCCACAGTATGGATACAACGTAAGCCCCATGCTGCTTCGCTCCCATTTCTAAGCCTAGTCAGTAGCTACGGCTGTATTGATTCATGGTGTCCTCATTCTGGCCCCTTTTGTTGTTTTGGCCAACAGGATCGCCGACACAGAGTACAGAGATATGAGCCCACCTCACGCTGCTACTCTTTGAAACAGGATTGCCTCAAGAACAGCTAAGTTTAGATTTAGGTTCTGGTTTTCAGTCGATTTTCAGTCTTAACTTAACGTACATTTTAAATAATATCGTACAGACTATATTTAGTGGTTAGATTATTAAGAACATTTATGTCGATTTAGTTGTTACAATATGATTTAGATTTTAGGTTTCATTACATTACGCTTTGTAATAGCATTACTTTCTATAGATATTATTATTACGCTATATCAACAGATGAATAACCAGACATAGATTCTAGAATCTACAGGTTGCAACATATCAGATTTAACACCGCATAAAATTTAACAATTTAAATAAAGTAATGCTACCTTTCTTATATTTTCTATAACGTTACACGCATTATATTTTTTCATAGTCTTTTCATAGAACATATTTAATATTATTTACATACATAGCTTTTTACTCGACATATAACCACTATAATAATTATTAAAATTGTACAATGCTATTTACCATCAGGATACATCATGAATGAATATAGTCACTAGTTTTAAGTAATAAACAACTGTATTTTCTTTCTCTGTTCATGCCTGGCGCCCAATCTTTATAATTTCGAGTTATTATTGTTAATTAGTTCTTTCCAGTGAAATACCTTATCCACGACTGCTCTACCAACGAAAAGCTGCCGTTCGCAGTGGTAATGTTTATAAAAAACGCTACAATTTTGATTGATGAAATTGTATCTTATCTCATCAAGGAGGCCGAATTCGACAAGATATCAAGAGATAACTTTTAATTCATATTAAACGGCCTACATAATTTTGATATCAAAAAAAGTCAGGGGCGACCAAGTTGTTTTTGAAAAATATTCCAGTGATAACCCATATGCACGTCCCTAATTAATTTATCTCCACTTTTTGAACATTAAAATATGTAGAGCACTTACAGTAACTTTTACCCTCAAAATTTCATTCGAATCACTAAAAGCACATGGAAGAAAATTATAATAAATCGAAAGAATATTAAGACTTTAACACCCTCTAGCTACGAAAATAAGCAGAATTGTACTTATGTTGATATGAAAAATAAATCTTATTTTTACGTGAGGAATCTCCCCACGGGAGATGGCACATGTTTTTTGAAACATCAAGTATAAATTTTAACATACTAATAAATTTGTTAGCTACATATCATTCAATCATAATCACAAAACTGAAGAAAAATGCATAAAATATCCTAAACACCGCTCAAGCGTAATATAAATTACTCTGTTCGAAACTAGCCCCAAACCACATAAAAGACAAACGAACAGAGTATCAAACACAATTTGTAACGGCTAAGACAGCTTTTAGTTCACACCGAACACAATGGTCCTGTGATTGCCACAGGATAATCCCGGCTTACAGGAACGATTGACAGGATACGTGATATTTTGGGGGCCGCAGAAATCTACCCTCGATTGCCTTCGGCTAGAGAGATATTAGCCAATGTTGTTATTTCGGTGCGCCATGTGGTGATAATTGTACTTTTTACTTATAGTTAAAGTAAATTTTAATAAAATTTGTTTTAATAAATTTGTAGAGTGTGTTTTATTTTCACTGTCCTCGATGAATATCTCCGTTATTGCTGAAAATAAATGATTACGGTTTTCGCAAACCTAAAATGTATTATTTACTTACGTTACAATGTCGTTATTTTATAGCTACCCCAGTTTTTAGTACCATATACAAGATGGTATACAAACTTTATTAGTAAAAAATCTCTATACCTATGTGGCGGATTCATCTCTCCAAAAAATCCCATATGGGTATTTTGCCACTGCAAGAAAATCTACAAAATAAAATAGTTAGGGTAAGGTAGATAGTGATTGGCCCTCTTAAGAGAATTAATTTGTTACTAATTCAAAAAATAAGGAATGCCTGCATCAAATCGTAAAACTATAAAAATACTAAAAAATTTGATATTTCTATTTTATGGAATAACAAAAAAAAAATGATATATGGTGTAACTAAATTTAAAGAATAATTTTTAAAGATAATTACTACTTAAATTACAGTTATTGTCCCTTTTTGCACAGTTATTAGCCCACTAATATTATAGTTATTGGCCACCTAAGTTAGATACTTGCAAAGCACTGTCTTACACAATACTTACCATGCACCTTAATTAATAGGCAATAAATAAATTAAAAATGTTACCAACAAAGGCTTTATTTATTTAGAGGCTCGAAATACAGAACTAAAGAAACAAATAATAATGAAAAACAACGCCAGTAAATTATTAAAACTATCAAAACAAACACTAGGTAAGTACCTAGGCGTAGTAAAACTATTGTTCTATAAATAAAACAAAAACTAAAAAAACAACGAAAATCAAACATATCTTTATAAAAAAATATCAAATAACTTTTAGTATTTAGTAGGTCCTATTTTTAAGACAAGTCAAACAAGTGAAAATATCTGAATTTGATTTGTGCAAATTGTGCTTAATAATACATTTCAGATGATAAGTGCGAACACATTCATTGCATTTATGACCAGCCTGCTCTTTGGTAATATTATACGTACAAACAAAACAAATTCCCGAATGTAGAACGTTATTTTTAAGAGAAAAAATCATATTTTCTTCTGTTTTATAGATTTGCCTTGACACTTTAGCTAATCGTTCTAAAAATATATTATTTTGTTGTATTGAGTCATTACTATTATCGTTTTCATGTGTTATAATATTTGTATATATATTTTCACAAATATCCGGTTTTAAAACAATGTTAGAAATCACATTGACTTTTTTGTTTTCTTTATTCTCCTGTTCTATTTTCCCCTTAACAGTTTTACTGGCTAATTTTCCTGTTTTTTTAGGATCCGTTTTTTTCTTTCTTCTTTCGTTCCTCTCAGCTATTTCTTGTTGTCTTTTTATTTTTTTAGCTTCTCTTTCTAATTTTCTTTTGTTTTGTTCTTCCGCTTTCATTTGTTTCTCTGTTTCTTTCTTATCTTTCATTTCTTTCCATGGTGTAGAAGTAATAATATATGGCATTTTTTCCGTATTTTTTAGCCCTTTTCGTTCAGGAGTGTCAAAATAAAATAAGTATTCTCCTAGACTGTTCTCTGACTGATTTTTTGTTTCACAAATATTTGGTGAAGTTTCTTCTTCAACTGGTGAAGATGTTTTTGGTATATCTTTTATAATCCCATTCTCTTCTATTACTATAGGCAGGGTAGATATATCAATGTCATCTTCAATAGACACAATTATATTTTGTTTTTCTTCTATATCAGTTTGGTTATTTATAATACTGTTGGTACTATCTATAAATATATTACTTATTCCGTTTTCTTCCATATTTTCAAATATTTCTATGTTTTTTGTTCCTCTTTCTTCTGGCTCATCAATTATGTTTATATTTTCTTCAAATTTCCCATCGTCGTGAATACTTCCTACCTGCGTGTTGATATCGTTTATATTTTCATCGGTTTCTTTATGAAAAGCTAGCCAAAGATTATAAATTGTATTTAAATCGTCATTTTCCTGGGACTTATTATAATCATTAAATTTTGCCACTCTGTCTTCTCCAACAATGTTTTTAAAACTGTCAAAATCTAAATCTTTGTACAATTTAGTCTTACCGGTCATTACACTTCCATTATTGGCTTTTCCTAAACATTTGTCGAAGTGAATGGCAGAAGGATTCCATGGGAAAAGACCGCATGTTTTAAACCCGCTAATAATTATTTCTGGACGCAAAGTTGAAGATATAATAGATTTTAATAAAGGAGCAAAGGTTTTTTTCGTCAATTCTTCTGTGGGGTGATCTCGTCTCCACTCAAGTACACCTTTGCGCCAACCGTCTTTCAATGGCTTAAACGTCGATACGTCTGCAGGTTGGAGAATTCGAGTTGCGTTCGGGTATAATGCAATTAAAAGTATTTGAAGCTTGGAGCAAAGAGTACTGAGCTTCCGATCCAGGTGTGTTTTATGTCCATCTACAAATAATATAACAGGGAAGGTGACACCAAGTTTTTTTAGGAAAGGATAAAACACGTTTCCGATGTATTCATAAAAAATTTCGGTCTTCATCCATCCCGTGTCACTACACGAAGCATGAAACCCCTTAGGGACTGACTCGGCTATGTCTCTGGGAAGTCTTTTGTAAGGGTAAATTATTAGTGGTGGTGTTGTTTCACCAGAAGCACTAAAACAAAATAGCACTGTTAGAGACGTTTTAGCTTGGGCTCCGTCTACCTCATACACATTTTTAGCACCTTTTGGTGCTAAAACCTTTTTATTTTGGGGACACAACTGAAAATTGGTCTCATCTCCATTAAAAACTCGGTCAGAATGCTGAAGAATATTATAGGTGTTTTTTTCTTTTAAATAAGATTCTATGTGGTCGAACCACTTTCTAATATCAGATTCACTTATCTTTGAAGACGCGGCAGTGATAGCCTCAGGTTTTCTCTCTGATAATTCAGGGCGCCTTTTTAAAAATGCCTTATACCAGCCATAGCCAGGGTAATTATCAGTAAAAGGATTTTCACGAGGATTTTCATCAAGAAATTGTTTAACCGAAGCTTGAATATCCTCTTTCCTTCGAGGAAATCCCTTTTTCTGGCAATCAATAATCCATTCAGTCAAATCGTTTTCTTCTGCAAGGCTGAGAATTGGGGATGGACCGAAGGAAGACTTGACAAACTTGTTGGAAGTTCTGAATTGAAGGGTCGATCTTGGTATTTTAGGGTATTTACGGCAAACTGTCCGAAGGGGAGTTCCACTCTGAACCTCCTCGATGGCCTTTGCAAGATCTTCTTCTGTCCATTTCTTAATATACTTGGTTTTATCTATCGTCTTTGGCATTATAGGATAGTGATAATTATTCTCTAAAATTAAAAAAAAAACTATTACCTATTGATACCCTTAAAAAAATTGAAGTATACAGTTATTGGCCGTCATTACTTGATAGTGACTGGCCGTGGCCAACAACTGTAACGGCTAAATTTATAAAGAACTTTTATTTATAAAACGCAAAGTATTAAAAGGGATATGAAATATGCACAATTTTATAAAAAAACTCGCCAATTAGTAAAAACACAGTAATTGGCCCAGGGGGCTAATAACTGAAAATTTGATTTTTTTTTTATACAATTATCGGCCCTCTAATATTTTCATTTATTTCATATTTTTTTAGGTTAAGGGATAAAAATAAATCATTAATAAGGGTACAAACAATCAGTTCCAAAAAAAAAAATAGGTACATACCTTCAAAAATGGAGAATATGTCAGTCTGTAACTATGAGGTTTCTTAGCTAATACAATACAAAACGACGCAAATTCTAGGACGATTGGCACGCACTACAAATTTGACACTGAACAAATAGTAACTGAAAATTTACAGTGTTGCCACATACGTAAATCAAAAGAAGACACCTGACTCTAATATAAAACAGTGTAATTGGGATGTTAAACTGTCTGGAATTCTTATTTTTTTAAATCATATTTCAGGAGGCCAATCTCTGTAGGGGGGGCCAACAACTGTCTCCTTTACCCTACATTATATTTCAGAAATCTGTTCTAAGGCTTAGCAAATCTTTTGTCAGACAAAATTTCAGTCTATTTCCGTATTGTAACGGAATTTTAAATTTCGTTAACATAAGGAATATTTCGACCATGTTTGACCATCAAAATCTTAAAAATAAAGAAGTTGTCTAAAAATGTGCTACAATACGGATATAGTAGAATGTAGAATGTAGAATGAGTAAGAGGGGGGTAATCACTGCGACCTTAAAGATCTATTCTGCCCCCTTCCTTGAGTCATCACACAATCTATAACCCATCATACCCCTGTTGTAGAGGGGACAGGGTATTTCCCATCTTCCTCTGACAACAGTTCTTCCTCCGAGGGTACACACCCTTCCACGATTAGAATTTTTCTCCGTGCCGCTCTTCACAGGCGAGGAGCTTGCCTCCTGCTGAGGAACCCGTGAGGTGGAGGCTAGAAGATCTGTCTCCATTTTCTCCACCTCTTTAACTTGGTCTCTCCTTAGACCTGATACCGGTGTAGTTCCGTATCTATAATATAGGATATGTCCCTCTTTCTCTATAGCCTCCTTGGATTTGAGGTCAATTCCTATTTTGAGGACCTGACCATGACTCTCCTCCCTCGAGTGATGACTTGCCAACTCGATGCCCTTACATTGAAGTTCTGACTTTGGATAAGGCTCAGCAGGTAGGTGGTGTCTTTCCCCTTGCTCCTCGGCAGAAAGACCGTTATGGCCGCCCCTTTAGAGATGTTTTCTCCCTTCACTGTAACCAGTTCTGGCCCTTGACAATTTTTAAGCTTAAGTGCGATTTCCACCAACCAATTCGCAAATTCTTGAGATTCACAATCTATGAGGATCATGCCCACTTGAAAGTGTATCCCTGCAAAACTCAGCTGACCCACATTTTGTAGATCGTTGTGTTGTGATCCGATCGCCACTACTTCGTCCAGTATAGCCTCTTCTAGAGACGTTTGCTTGTCGGTGGTGAGAGGTACTTCTGGGAAGAAATCCTTTGGCAGCACCGCCGTTTTCACTTGTCCAGCAGCAGCGGCAAAGCTGGTGATACGTCCCTGCTTGCCTCCCGGTGTTGGACGGCTTTCCATCCTGTTTTTTTCTCTCTCCCTGTCGGAGAATAGGGAAGAGGTTCTCGCTCCCTCTCTTGCCCTTTGATGGAGATGAGTCAGGTTGTTTCTTGGTGTCTTTACTCTCCCCTTTTCGGAGGAGTGTTTTTGCTTTTGCATCCTCTGGAGCAAGTCCTTCGTGGAGCAGTCGGAGGTATCTCCGTGCTTCTGCTCTGCTAAGACCTACTCTCAGAGGATCGTCTAGCCCGCCTGGTTGATCCAGGACGGGTAGACCAAAGGGTAGCTTATGTCGCTTATTGGGTCTGGAGGTAGGCTCCCGACCCTTGCTGGAGAAGGTGGTAGCTTGTGTGCCACTTGTGGAGGATGATCCTAAGCAAGTGTCAGCCGCCCCTCCTGTAGTTTCCTTTGGATTTGTTCCCTTGGAACTTTCATTTGTAATGTTCCCAGTGTCGCTAGCGGGCTTACCCACAGCTTCATCGGTGGTGTTTTTAATACTAGATCTCATAGTGTTCCCACGAGCCGCTAGGGATAGTCGATCCACTTCTACAGAGCACCGCATGCAGAAGTAAGGGATAAATACAATGGGGTGCCCTCTGATGCTCCAAGGTTGAGGCCAGTAATGGCTAGTCCTCTATCTAGCCACGCATCCCTTTGACCTGGTCCCGCCATCTTTCGATTTAGGTTTTTGGTGAGGTTGTCTCCTCTTGGTCCAGGCGGTTAAGCCAAGACCACACCCTCTACTCGCACCCTCTACCACACCCTCTACTCGCTAGACATGGCCACAGTCAGTAAAGGGTGCCTGGTATGACGGACAGGGGTAGCCTTATTCCCTGGCCACGACACTACAGCCAGGGACAAGACAATGATATATTTCTTAGACCGAGCTAAAATGCTAGAGGAGATTCCTCCAGCACCTGAGAAGGAGCTTCCCCACCAACGACAAGGTCTTGCATCTCCTAGGGAAAGACGGATATAGTATAATCCTTTATCTTTAATTTCCTTCTTCATTTATGGTAAAAATACCTAGCCAGTTTTACATAAAATGGTAAATGCCGAACGCTTATTTTGCTACTTTTTCGGACTAGTCAAATGAACTCTTAAAAGAGGCAAATAGAAATAATCCACATAATATTATCAAATAACTGATGAATATGTGTTACAAACTGCCTGTTCAAAATAGCGCCGTTTTGGACAATTTAAAGGCCACAGCCGCAACAAATTTAATTGTTCTGGTCAGAATGGCAAATAATATTGTGTTTCTGCCACGAATAACTTCTGCCGGCACGAAGAGTCATAATTTCTAATTGGAAGGAAGTTATGTCATGCGGACACTGATATGATTTAGTGTAATCGAATGGCCGCCTCTGGCGTAGCGTGAGGTCCGGTAAAATTAGTTCGAAAGTTTGTTTTCCACTTATGTTGGTCAATTTTAGTAATTAAGTTACTAGGACGCTTGATTTTCTACCCTTGAACAATTCGCAATTAGTTGTGGTTTCCTATTAATATGCTTATAACATACGATCGAAAAAAAAAACGGCGTCAAACACGGTTAGGGAATGACAATCGATAATAATTTTGGCGAAGTCAAGCCCTAGATGTTATTTAAGTACTTGGTTTGTACTCTTTTTTATTTTTTACTGGCGGTTACAGCCAGTTGGCATAGGAAGGTTGTAAATTATTTTTACAGGGTGGTCCGAACTGTATTCCGGAATCTTCGACAGCATATTCTGCAGATAAAAATAAGTAAAAAAGTTTGTATAAATGTATGTCATAAAATGCTTAATTTCGGAGATACAGGGTGTAGAAGTTTCATTTTTATTTCAATTTTTCCCAGATAATTTCGGAAGTAACGTTAATATTTGAATGAAAATTGGTGTCTGGGAATTTTTTGACATGATAAATTTGAATTTGATGTTAGTATGACCCCTATTAGTATAGGGCACCACATACATATTTTTTAATTGGTTTGAAGAGTAATAACTTTTCGTCCATACCTGTATAAAACTACTGAGTAAAAAAAATACATTTACGACGCTTTTTACGTAAAAAATGGTCTCTTGATAAAAATCGCTACCAGTAATGGTTTTCAAGATATTTGGAATCGAAATTATCAATACCTGTCATTATTGACATAAATTAAACATATTGACTAAATAGTTATTAGACTGAAATCATAAATTTGAAATGTTTTTGTGACAAGAAACTGTTTTATCATATTTATCATCATTTTTTTGCAGAAAAATTTATGATTAATTAAAAAAAAATTCCCAAATTTATTATTTCAGTGCTAAAAAACCACTCAATGGCATGTTTATATTTCCTCAATAATGACATATATTGACTATTTCCATTCTAAATATCTTGAGAACGGTTGCACGTAGCGATTTTTACAAAGATATATTTTTTTACGTAAAAAGTCACAGAGATGTAAAGTTTTTCCCTCGGTAATTTTATACAGGTACGGACAAAAATTTATTAGGCTTCAAAACAATTAAAACACATGTAGGTGGCGCCCTCTACTAGCAGGAGCCATATTGACATCAAAATCAAATTTCCAATGTAAAAAACCTCCTAGACACCAATTTTCATCCAAATATTGACGTGACTTGCTGCCGAAGTTTCCGGACCACCCTGTATATTGAGTAAAAATTATTTTAAATGGTGTACCTAGTTTAAAATTCCAGAAAGAATATTTTTTTGGAAATAGATTTGTGTGTCTGGAAACGTTCTATTCTTTTTTAAAATTTTCTATAATTATTCTTAAATTTTGACAAGTTTTATGCCAATTTTTAGTAAACGACGTATAGAGATTGACCTCGCCAAAATTATCGTCGATTATAATTCGAACCCCTTTTTGAAGATTATTTTGAAAATCGGTTTGGAATACTGCGCAAAAGTTGCCAATTGGTATTAGAAAACTAATATCTATTTAAAGTTTTTCAATTTTGTTTCATCTTCTGCCCTCTACAGGGCTTTAAAAAAAGTAAAAAATACAAAAATATAAAATTTTGATTTTTAGCCAAAATTTCAGGTAATAAGTAACTTTTGTAATTAGAAATAATATATCTTATTGAAATATGACATTTTAACCCCCCTACTCAGTGTACCCTATGTACCAAGGTCAAACAATTTTTTTATAAATACCCAAATATTTACACACTTTAACAAAGAGTTAAAAATGTGTCGAGCAGAGTATTTAGAGCAGTTTTTTGCTTGCTTAACAATATTATATGTATTCAATATTGTTAAACAACCCAG